AGATCCTTCCTGACATGGAGGGACAAAAAAGGCTAAAGTCGGAAGACCTGACTTGATCAGTAATGCTTTTTGAGAAAGAGCTCCATCAACAGAGGGGAATGATAAAGATGAACTGGGACTTTAATGAAACTGATCAGGTGTAGGGGGTCTATGGTAGGAGCTGGGACTTGTAGAAGTTCACGAAAACACCTAGTCAAACTCTATGGTTCTAATTTCTTTTTCCTAAAACTCTGTGGTTCTAACTTCCTGTCTCCCTGCCTTAAATACCCTCCATCTTGACACACAAGCCAGAATGCGCACGTGGCTTGCCATGTCTGCATGTGCTGGGCTGCAGCCCTTTTTCCTTTTCTAGAATACATCCATTTTGGTGATGGAATACATAGTCGATATTATTTTTCAGTCAACAGAATTTTCCCTCCTGCAGGTCATTTAGGTTCTGATAAGGTCCCAGCAAGTTAAGCCCTGGTTAACTAGTTTCTCCTGAGGGCTGGCCTTATTAAGAAAAATAGAATGCTCTGGTATATTTCAAAATGGTTCCTTTTCTCTTCCCCCTGATGGAAGCTCCAGGGGACACACACACACACACACACACACACACACACACACACACACACACACACACACACACACTTACTTCACCTACTGTGAGAACCTAGAAGAGCTCCTGAAGGTAGAAAAAAACCTCACATGATTGTCCCCCCATCACCACTGCCCTCACCTTGACTAGGTGCCTCAGAAGTTTTTAACTTTCAGAGTGGTCCACGCTGAGCCTCAGCAATTCATCAGTTACAGTTCAGGTTTTCCGGCGCTGGCACTGGTTCTAGGTAAGGTTTGCCCTAGTGAGCGTCTGCTTCTGTAAACCATTACTTTCTGTATCCACCTGTCTTTTTAATCTTGGGGCAGCAATTTGCCCATTAGGTCCTCAACTCTCTTGGGAATCCTAGAAGAGTTGTTGATTTTCTTAGTCCATTTGTTTTTTATTTGTTACTATGACTTCTAACCTCCTTACATATGAAACAAAGCAGAATGAATTTTCAGCTGAAATACTCTAGTTTATTTGACAGCTCCAAATTTCCCCCAGGCTGAAGGGAATGATTATATGTTGTTGTCGTTGTTGTTGTTGTTGTTGTTGTTGTTGCTACTGATACTGCAGTTGTTCTTGTGGTTTTGTTGTTGTTGAGTCAATGTTACACACAAATTGCATAGAAATAAAGGAGTAAGCTTTTAGGTGTTAACACTTTTAATTGCATGAAAACTCACATAAGAATTTTCAACCAGTTCTGGGACTCTGGCACACTCAGATGAACCACCTTTTTAAATATTTCTAAATAAAAACAAACACAGGAATCTAACTTAAAAGAATGGAAATAATGATTACAGTTAGAGTTTATCAGTGTTGTAAACTTTTTTTCAAACCAGATTGTTGACAACTGACCCTGATTTCCAGCTTTAAAAGTTTTGAAATCAGGTCATAAAATCAAAGGCCAAATCACCAAGTGACTATTTTAAAATCAGTATTTTCCTTAGTGACTTTCACTAGGTCATGCTCTGTTTCAAGTGCTGAAGTTCAGAGAAGTTTCAGGGATAGATGCAAGCAATCTAAGCAGTCAGCACACGCCAAGGTTTCAATGTCCTTGAGTTAACTCAGTGAATCAGGGATGGGCTGAGAGAGGGATGGTTTTGTATTTCACACTAGGGGACCCTAGTCTGGAGGAAGAACCCTCGGAGTTAATCCTATTTCCCTATCTCATTCCGGGAAATCTCTATCCTGAAACTGACTCTGTTGTGCTAAATAAAATGGGAGGAGTCACATTAAAATTCCTGTGCTCACAATTTCCGAATCCAAGCCGAGGGCTGCTCTAACTAGGTCCACATTTTCTGCACGCTGGGATTAGAGTCTTGTAATAGCAGTGAGACTGGCTGGTGAATTTGCCACAATTAATTTCCATTCATTAACAAACATTGCCTAAATGCCTACTAGTGTGCCAGATATGGCGCTAAGTGCCAAAGAAAAAAACCTGTTTTTTAAACCTTGGCTTCAGGCTCAGCAGGAGGCACTGCTTAAATATTCAGAGAGCTTGAGGGATGAGTTAATGTCAGTGCCTCCCCATCTGGAGAGACAGACCTTTAAAGTCAAGTTTGAAATGGCTGCAGCTACCCTAGCACCCTCTGGGGGCAGAAACTGATTCGCATGCCCCACACCACCAGCCCATGGTTTGTAGCCACTTAAGAAGTCAAAGGAAGGAATGAATGTTGTCTTTGAAAGCTGAAGGATGCCAAGGATAGAGTTCCAAGCCCACAAAGGGACATGGTCATGAAATTGGCTTCTAAGATAGTAATTTAACCATTTGTTGTCATTATTACACAGGTTAAAGCTAATGTTCCTTCTTCAGGAAAACGCAATCTACAGACACACATAACTTACATATGATTTCAGAAGGTTCATATGTTAGAAACCTCAGGTCTTGGAATGGAAGAAATTTCCACAAAAATATTTGGCACCTGAGAGCAAAGACTCACCTACAACAACCTCAAGTGGCAGAGCTCAATCTCCATGCCACGCGGGGTCCACTATGCCCCCTTTGCCAATTTGGCCCTGCAACTCTGCACAGAAAGCCTACCCCAGGGCTCGAGAACTAAACACCTGAGACCTAAAGCCGGAGACCTTGGTCTCAGCACAGGGCTGCAGGACAACTGAGCAGGCAATCTGCCATCCCGAAGAGCCCTGGGTCTTGCTCCGCTCCCTTTGCCTTGCGCTTCATCTGATGCACACCTGTGTCCTAACAAGCAGTTCTTCCATTTCTGGTTCCTCCGCTGCTCTGCCACTCTTCCTGCAGAGAGAGAGTTTCAGACACCCAGTTCCCCAGCCCCGAGTTTTGAATCCCTGTGGCAGTGGTGCCCTAAGAGTTAATGCAGAGAAAAGTTGGATAAGAACATACCGGAGGTTAGGTGTTCCCGAGCAAGGAGGCCACCCAACTGGAAGGGGAAGCAATGTGGTTGCAAAGCAGGTGTGTCCTAAAATGCTGAGGCTCCTGGAGACTGAGGACTGGGGTGCAGACCCGCGAGTCGGGTCACTCATGGCACACGCGGGCGAGGGTCTCTCTGCCTGGGAGAACCACCAAGCTGGGGTCCTTGCTTGCCCGCTACAGCCCTTCTGATGTGCTCACAGCGCAAGGAGCCTCTATTGTGCGCTGTGCGCTCAGACCCTGAGATCCTGGGGAGAGCGAGAAGCTGCTTTCTCCGCACTCTCTACTGAGGGCAGCAAGTCAGGACCTGGGACCTTCCAAGCGGGCTTGCAGCAGAAAGCTCAGACTGAAGGGTCCTGAAGCCGGTTGTGCAGGGTGTGAGAGGGTCGAGGTGCCGCATAATTGGGTGTTATGGAGCACGCGTATTCTTGAGAGTGAGGGCAGGTGTGATGTGAACAGGTCACCATCATGCCTGTGCATGGATATGACCACACGAGAGACTCCGAGGCAAGCGTAGGGGCATGATTCGGCGCGAACCGATTCCGATGTCCTTGCGCGCCAGTATCGTTTTGCTAGTGCTTGTGCTTTAGGGGAGTGGGCATGTATTAGGAGACAGTAATGAGTTTGTATATGTGGAAGAGTGTGACTGGGAGTCACTGTCAGTATTCCTTTCTGTAGGAGCTTTTCAGCTCCGTCAAGCCTGCCCTGCTCTCTAGTGGAGAACTGAAGTGCGGGGGATGCGGGTGCAGGACCAGAGTCGTTTGCCACTGGGACGTTGGGCAAACAGCTGCGGGAAGCAGTGATAGCTGGGCACAAGGCTCCAGCAGGCAGATGAGTGCGAGGTGATGGACGGAGTAGGAAGGGGGAGGGCTAGGGGCTGCTTGCAGGCTGGGGAAGCATCTATGCCTTGCCCCTTCCCGCTGCGGCTCAGCAGGACATTGACCCTTTCTACCCACTTAATGGTCCACCCAGCGTGAGCCCAGGCAGCCACACAAGGTGGGGAATCCTACAGGATGGATCGCGATCTTAAGGAATCCCCTATGTGACCCAGGAAGCTCTTCCACATCCCGGCCTCGCTGGGGAAAGGCACAAGTCTACTAACGATACCATTCCTTCAAAACGGGAATATGGTTCCCATTTCAAAGATGAGTATAGTTGACCATTGAACAATATGGCGGTTAGGGGCGCCGACCTCCGGGCGCAGCCAAAAATCTGCGTATGACTTATAGTCAGCCCTACGCATACTCAGATTCCCAACCGCGGAGTTGCCCCTTGAACAATACGGATTTGAACTACGCAGATCCATGAACTGCGCAGGTTAGTTGAACCGCGGTCAGTTGCTCGGGAACTGCTAGGGTCAACCCAACTTCGCGGGCTCAATTTTTTAAACTCCAACTGTAATTGGACCTGCGCAGTTCAAACCCATGTTAAGGGTCACCTTTACATTGAGGTGCTGAGAAGTTACTTGCCTATAACCCTGCAGCCAGGAATTGGCGCAGCTAGAAACGGAGTTCAGTTTGACAAAGTTCTTGCTCCCACCTCTATCTCTTGCTTCCCATAACGAACCCGGCTGCTCTGTGGATGATTCCAGCTGCCTGAAGCAGATGCTCTACTTGGGCCCCAAGTCAATACTGCTTACACATTAACCCTCCAAGCCTCACTTGCACAGGGGTCTAGGGTCAGACTTGGGGGAACCAGGGGTCCCTGCAATCCTAGACACTGCCCTGTAAGACCCCCACAGCTGGGGATGGAGTGGAGCACATGTTCAAAACCGGATGAAACTGAACAGGTGAAATTTACTATGACGTCAAATTGTCCTCAAAATCCGCTCACTTCGTGGGTGTTTCTCTTGGGCCCCATCACTCCCCCTCCTCCTTCCGTCAATGACCTCAATGCAAATACAAGTGGGATGATCTTGCTGGATGCTACAGGTTCTGGACGCAAGTGGTGACACAATCTGTCTGAGCAGAGGAGCCTTCCCCTGATTGGTTGCCCGGAGCTTCTGGACCACCCCAGACCCAGAGCAGCGGGAATAAGAGGAGTCGCTTGTGCTCGAAGGCATCAGCGGCACTGCCCAGCTGAGGTGTCACGGCCACTTCCACAGTGCCATCGCCTGACGCGAACACTTCTGCAATTGCCTCCACTCCACGCCACCTGCTACCTGCTACCAGGTAAGCCCTGAGATTCCTGCTTCGTTGTACGATTCTAATTATCTCTCCCTCTCCTCCCTTCCCTCTCTCTCTATTACTCTATCTCTTGGTCGATCTGCCTGCCGGTCTCAGAGTCTCTGTCCACTCCTGTCTGCATCTCTTCATCACACAGTCTCTGTTGGTCCGCGATTCGTCCCAGACGCCTACCGCAGGTAAAACCGGATAGTCTCAGTTGGGAGAGTCAGTGTTCCGCTCTTCCCGCGCAGAGCCGGGCTCCAGTCTCGTTGTCTCTCGCTGCACGCGTGCTTAGACCCATCTCTGTCGCTGGAGCTCCCCAGGCACTGCGCACAGAACAGATGCATGAGTAGCTTTCTGCAGACTGTGCGCTCATGGATCACGTCTCCCGCCTAGCGGACCCCGGAAAAAACGGTTTGGAACTTGGGCCAATGCCACGGCGTGGCAAATAGGTGCAAAGACCTAGGGCATCAGCCCTAAACTGTAAGCCTCCGTGGTGCGTTCTGGGAGTCCCCCCCCCTTCCCCGTGTAAGTTTTAGGTCTCAATTTAAGGCTCTGCTAAGCTTATTTCTTACAAAGGGTCTCTTTGCTAGAGCAAAAGCTCTGCACAGGGAGGACAGCTCTGAATTGCAATGTAGGAAAATGCTGTTGTGAAACGGTACTCCCAGGCTGTCCTGGACAGAGATCTAGGGTGTGTTACTGCTGGAGGACTAACATTATTTTTTTCCTTGCAGAGGCATCATGGGCTTCTGGAAGCTCTCCCCCTTCCTCGCTCTTGGCATCTTGGTCCTGTACCAGGCGGGCATCCTCCAGGCAGCGCCATTCAGGTAAGACAACCCTGCCAGGAGCACACTCCCCTCCCACTGCGCCAGGGATCAAAAATTTGCAGGCTCTGAATCGCGGTGTGCTGAATGTTTAATAACAACTCTTGGGTTGGGGGTAAATGTATGTATGTAAGCCTGCATGAGTTTTTATGATATAAAGGTGTGTTCTACACAATTTACAAATATAAATAAGATATACAATGTTCTTTATTGTAAATTTATATACCTCTTTGAGCCTCACGGAACACTTTGCTTTTCACCAAATATTTGTATCTGTAGGAAACCTATTTATCTACTTCAACCACGGTTTGAGAAATAAATTGCATCCTAATCTGCTAGTACTTTGCCAATAAATTTGTTGTTAATAAATCTAATGTGATCTATTCATCTAGTGTCTCACCCTCATACAAATTATATTTATTTAACTACATCATTTTTTCTGATTCAAATTAATTGTAAGTTTTATCATTTCATTTTTAATAATGACTGTATTTAACACAAAGCTCATAAAATTCCTGAAAATCGAACCATAAACGTTCACAAGCTTGAATGATTAGCTCCAGCAAGCCAACTCGTGATCGCCAGAGCCTGACTCCTGGCCAAGCAACATTTTTGGAGACACTGGCCCCATGTTCTATCCACCGATGGTTGGGGTGGCCACATCCTCAGGAGAAGTGGCAAAAGCCAGGGAACCTGACTGCTTTTCCTGAAGACGGGGTAAGCAGGGACTCAGCGCCTACATTGGGTTTTCTTCCCCTCCCTAGGTCTGCCTTGGAGAGCCGTCTGGCTGCTGCTCCACTCACTGAGGAGGATTTGTGCATCCTACTGGCTTCCATGGTGAAGGACTACCTGCAGAACAAGATCAGCGAGATGGAACTGCAGCAGGAGGCTGAGGATGCTCGGTGAGTCTCCGCACCTGACCAACACAGGGCACCCCATCCCTCCAGTCATGCCCAGGCAGGCATATCCTGAGAGGTGGGAGGGAACACAGCTGGATAGGTGACCATTCACTCTGGAAATTGGTCTGGCAGTGCTGAGAAGTCCTCTCAGCATTGAAGGAATTAGGACTGGTAAGTATGAAGCCAGTCGATTAGCTCTGGAGCTTTCAGAAACTTGGCTCCACCTTGTTAACCTGCACATGACATTCTTTCACACCTTCAGGGAGCCTTCACTGCACATTTGCAAGGTGAAGCCAAAGGCCTTGCAGAGGGTGGGGCTCAGGTAGAATAGTGACTGGGGTAGGTCTGGGCCTTTAGATGTGTAGGATCTATGGAGATGTGCATGTTGTCACAAGAGGCACGGGTCATACCTGCATCTGCCCTGACAACTGTCTGCAGAGCATCAAGGACTGAGCAGCATGACAAAGGCTGGGAAAGGTCACCCCTTCCCCACACTGCCCTGGCTGAGAATGCCTCTGGGTTCAACTAATGGAGAATGTGTGAGACCCCTCCTGTCTGCCCCAACTCTCTAAGTGGTGCAGTAATCTGAGTACCTGTGTGCTGGGCACATACATGTAGAACCACAAAACGTTTCACACATTTCCTCAGGCTGTAATTGGTGTCAGAGCACCTCTCAACCTCTCACTGACAGGTCTTCTCTTTTTCTCCATCCTGTAAATCAGCATCACTGCCCAGAAGAGAGGCTGCAACACTGCCACCTGTGTGACTGATAAGCTGGCTGGCTTGCTGAGCAGATCTGGAGGCATGTTGAAGAGTAACTTTGTGCCCACCTATGTGGGCTCCAAAGCCTTTGGCCGTCGCCGCAGGGAAGTTCAGGAATGAGCAGCTAAATGACTCCAGTAAGAAGGTGACTGCTCTTGTACTGTTGGATGGGAGGATGGATGACTGGGCATTGCAGGGGTGCAGTCCACACTATACCCCCCTGTGCCCACATGGCTAAGACATCCACAGGGGAAGGTGCTCACTCCAAGGTGAGATAATAGATGCCAATAGCCTCACAATTAACAAGTAACTGAATTCTGGCTTTTTTTTTTTCCTCCTAGGTCAACATGAAGCTGAACTCTACTTCTTTTCCTGCATAGTAAAAGCACCTTGTAGGAAAGCATGGAAGACACACACATATGCATGCTGCTTCATGTTGAAATCATTCTTCCTTGTTTAAAATAAATTAAAGCTGCATGATAATAAAGCTTTATTGCAATGACCTAGTTAGTGTGCGTCTTTTTTATATTTTTTTCTATACTCAATAAATATGACAGCATGCCTCACCGGCCTATCTGGCAGCAAACCTGGGCCCCATCAGCCAACCTGTTGATGTTGGCAATTTTGCTAAACCTCAGGGAGACATGAAACTGCTGCCTCCTGGGTGACTGGGGGACACATGTTAATGCCTCAATGGACTCTTTCTTTTTGAAGAAATCTTGTGGGGGTTGTTTTGTTTTCTTTTGTTTAAGATTGGGGGATTGGGGAGGTGAACAGTGTTGGGGAATTGGGGAAGGGGAACATTGTGGTTTCCCAGGACCCATCAGCTCCAAGTCAAGTTGTTGTCCTTCAAACTTAGTTGTGGAGGGCACAGCTCAGTTCAGAGTCCAGTCGCCGCTTTCAATCTAGTTGTGGGGGGTGGGAGTTGGGGGGTGGGTGTTGTAGTCCACCATCCCATGTAGGAGTCGAATCGGCAACCTTGTTGCACACTGAGCCATCTGGCCGCAGCAGCTCACGGCTGCTCAACTCAAGGTGCCGTGTTCAATCTTAGTTGTGGGGGGGCACAGCCCACCATGCCATACCAGTGTGGAACCAGCAACCTTGCTGCTAAGAGCAAGTGTTCTCCCAGCTCAGAGGCAGCTCAGCTGGGGCGCAGCTCACTGGCCCATGTGGGAATCGAGCTGGTGACCCTGTTGCTCAGAGCTCACACTCTTAACCAACTGAGCCATTTGGCCGGCCCCAAAAAATCTTATCATTTGTGAATTTCATCAAGATAAAAAAATATTAATTCAATACACTTGAAAGGAGCCCCTGCTGCTATTCATACTGTTTTCCCCTGAGAGCCTCAGGGTCCTGTGAACACTTTGTTGACCAGGCTGACTCAAATGAGGCGAAGGCAACGTGCTGGGGGTGGGTCCTCAGTGTCCTGGACCCCCAGTTTCTCCTGACACATCCCTATTGGAATTAGAACCCTGTGCATCTCAGAGACATTTTCAGAGGTTGTCCTGGTCCCCAGCTCTAAAGGCTTTCTGTCCACTTCCCCTTAACTCAGATGTGCCCTTACCCATCCCTGCCTTTCCTCCCCATAAGCACCCTCCATACACCCGTAGTCTGCAAAGCCTTTTAGAAACAATGGTTTAGAGTTTGAAATGGGATCACAGACTGGGAGACCTAGAAAGGTCATCAGATGCCATCCAATGCAACTTTTTAATCCTCTGACATGCAGGGAAGAAAAGTACATTGCTCAAAGTCCTGTAGTAAGTTTATCTGAGACAGTCACACATTTAACAAATACTAGTTGGGTGCCTGCTGTATCCTTGACATTATTTCAGGCACCAGGATAGGGCAATGAACAGAAAAAAACAGAATTCCCTGCACTCGTGGAGATATATTCTAATTAGGGGAGATTGAAGTGACACCTGCTTTAGAATCAGATGCTCAGTATTAGAAGGAATTTGGGATGTCATAGGGCATAATGCCTTATTCAACAGGAAATTTCCAGTGTTAACATCCCTGGCATCTACTTGGACTGCCAGGGGCAAGCTGCTGACTGCAACTCCCAGGGTGACTGAGCAGCTGTTGGACAGTCAATTAATTGGGATTTGTTAGTTAGAAAAACCAACCCCTCCCATCCATTGACTCTAGTTATTTCCTCTGGAGCACATAGAATTATGACCTTTGCTTTCATTCAGTCTGTACTCCACACTGTAGCCTAACCTTTGCCTAAAAGGTAGATCGGACCATGTCTCCTTTATGTACAAAGGAATGCATTGACTCCCCATCTCACAGAGTAAGTACCTGGAGCTTTGCAATGGTTCACAAGGTCCAAGCTGATCTTCCTCTCCTCTCACCACCTGCCCCATTACCTGCCTGAACTCATCTCCTACTTTTCTCCTGCACACTGGCCTTCTTACCATTCCTCATCTTTCATCCCCAAGCATGCCCCCCCCCCAAATGTGTGCACTTGTTGGTTTTGTACCTCTGTGCATAATTCCCCTACCCTTGGCCCCATTTCCTCCAGATCTTTACTCAAATGCCACCTACCCTGGCCATCTTTCTGAAGTTGTACCCCACCCTGCCAACACACCCTAACACTATGTTTTTCTCTTTACTACTGTTTTACCTTCTACCATAATATATATATATATATATATATATATATTATACAATATATATTATATTATATATATAGTTAGTTAGTTAGTTTAACATTTTTACTCCATTCTATAAACAATGTAAGTTCCACCTGGACAGGGCTATGGCTATTTTGTTAATTGTGGAATCCCTTACACACAGAACAGTATGCCTGGTGTGAGGTAGCACTCAATAAATATTTATTGCATGAATGGAGTTAAGTCCTTTGCTCTTTTATGTTTGTGGTCAACTCTCAGTTTCCCTCTTGGCCTGATTTTCTTCAGGCTAAATTGTCCAAGGGCTTTCATCTTCAGCAATTACATCACCTGGATAGTGAATCCCTCTTCTGCCTGAAGACTTCTGCGGTGGCTGCCAGTTATCAGTGACTCTGTTCCCTGCCTCAAGACCTCCACAAGAACTGTTTCTCCAGTTTGACCACACTTCTCACCCTGCTTTTCTCCTCCCTGGATTAATATGTTGACTAGCTTTTCTTCTTCCCATGCAGTAAACAAAGCAGACTGGTAGAATGCTCTCTAGGAATGATACCTATGACTATGTAGGTGACTTCAAATACAGCAGGGAGGAGAAATCACAGGGAAACCATTTTAATCTGGGGTCCCAGGCAGCTTCACCAATAACAGAGCTAAGACTGTACTGAATTCCCACCAGAACTCTGGGTAGTTCTCAATGGACTCAGAGCTCAAAGAATGAAAGAGTGTGATCAATTTGAGCCCTCAAAACAATGTAGGGTGCACTGACTCAGAACCCTAAGAACAGATGTAAGGAGTACATAGGCAATCAAAGCACAACATGGGGAGAAAAAATTGGGGTGTGACTACAGCATCAGTCTTTACCCCTCAAGACCCACATGGGCCATTGCAGCAAAAGAATGTCTTTTAGTGTCAATTAAGGCTCATGCCAAACACTCAGAGCTCGAGAAATATGCTGTAGCTGATTGAATTATTGCTTCCAATTCTTCACTACGCCATCGTAGTATTATACTGGGGATGCCAACAAAATGTATACAAGTGGACACTTTGGTCATCGTTGCTCAAGCAGTAGTTCGTCGTAATCAGAAATGTCTGGACACTGATGGTAACCACTTTGAGCACCTCTTGTAATTGCAGAAGTCAAATGTGACTTGTATTCATCTTTTGTTATTGGTATATATTGAGTATTACAATTTTAATACAGTTTTCCTTTCTTAAAATGTGTATACATTTTTTTGGCACGCTCTGTATATGCTTACACTTGCTATAGTAGCATGGTGGGTGAAATTGACATCCCTGCTCCTTTGTTTTTGGGATTGGTCAAATTACTTAATTTGGCCAATAAAATATTGGTAGACATGGTGCAAGCTGAGGCTTGAAATGTGTTTATCTGGTTGGGATAGTGCTCTTCTGCTTCTGCCATCACCCTGAAAAGAATATGCCTAAGGTATCCTTTCCCTTTTAGCCTGAGTTCAAAAATGAGAAGTGTGGACCTGACCCTGATCTGCAGCCTGGGTCCACATGCAACCAGCACCAGCTGACATCATCCTCATTCCTACCAAACACCCAGGAGCAAGAAAAATAAATATATGTTTTTCAGATTTTGAGGTTGTTTTTCTGTAACATTGTTGTGGTAATGGCTGAATGGCATGTATTCATGTGTTATTGAGTGAATGAGTCTCCCCCAAATTTATATATTGAAGCTTTAACCCCCAATGTGACTATGTTTGGGGATAGGACCCTTAGGGAGGTAATTAAACTTAATGAGGTTGTAAGGGAGGGGCCGTAATCTGACAAGACCGGTGTTCTTATAAAAAGAGGAAGAGATACCAGAGACCTCTCTGTCTCTCGCCATGCACACGCAGAGAAGAGGCCAGGTGAGAACACAGTGAATAGACAGCCTTTTGTAAGACAAGAAAAGACTGCCTCACACCAATACGGATGGGACTTTCATCTTGTACTTCCAGCATCCGGAACAGAGAGAAAATAAATTTCTGTTGTTTAAACCATCAGCCTGTGGTATTCTGTTATGGTTGTCAGAGCAGACTAACATAGGGGGCATTAGTTGATGGAATTGTTTTTGCTACTACAGTTTGTTTTTTCTCTTATTGAGATTTTGAGTTTAAATCAAATTGCTCAATGGCCAATTTATCAGATTAACTTTTTTTTTTGATGAACCCATTTACATTTTGTTTCCTTAATATCTTCTTAAGGAATGTTTATTTTGTTTCAGTTCTAGTCTCCTACTGCTGAACCTGGATAATATACCTTAAACAAATTAATTGTGTTTTATGTCTGGAATGGATATGTACAATATACTGCAAAACGGTGAATATAAATATATGTATCAACCTTGATAAATCTCACATATACCGTCGGTTGAAAAATAAAGCAAGTCGCAGAGTACATACCATATTTTCCCATGTATAAGATGCTCCCATGTATAAGACGCACCTTAATTTTGGGGCCCGAAATTTGAAAAAAAATGTATTACATAAAGTTATTGAACTCAAGTTTTATGCATCATAAGAATGTGAAATTTGAAAAAAGCGTAAATGCAAGTAAAAAAATCTACAACCACTGTATAAGATGCACCCAGTTTTTAGACCCCAAATTTTTCAAAAAAGGGTGTATCTTATACATGGGGAAATAGGGTATGTCAGATGATACCATTTGTATTAAATTTAAAACAGTCATAACATTACTATACGTAATTTAGGGATACATACATATATGTAGTAAAAACATAACGTTATATGTAAGGAGACTAAACATCACATTCAGAAAAGTGATTAACTTTGAGGGTTTGGGAAGGAGGTCACATGAAGAGGGTTCTACAGGCAGCATCTATCAAGGTTTTGTTTCCTTAGGTATCATT